ATATTAGGGAACCTTTTAAAGAAACTAACACAAACTTCTCTAAACTGAAACCATAGCAATCCCAATGCCTTAATCTCCAGCAGTATCACTATAGTAGCCTTAACTGTTCCCCTCCAAATTCCAGTCCCTAACTTTCTATTATCCAGCGTTTCCCCCCCTAATAATCAAAACTACAAATTAAAACTGCATTTTTTTTCTGTTTCACGAAAAAAGTTTATAAGGTGTTTCTTTTCAGCCATAAAGGTTGATACTGCTTTTTTCTTTAATCAAAGAAGTTAATTTAGACTTCACCAACCATTTCTCCATTGTGAATAGTGCCAACCTTACCACAGTGGATTAAATGACAGCTCAGAGTCTCATGATGTAAATTTTGTAATGTCTTTTTAAACACTTAGGAAAGGTTATGAGAGTTATTAAAAGAGACTAGGGGATACCAATGTTAATGTACCTGAATGTTATATATCTAAATATAACAAATGATATTTACAAGTTTCAGACTGAAGTTGGAATTCTCTTAATTAAGATTTTTAACAATGTTTTGTTGTTATAACTCTGTTATAACAAAAGTACCAGGAATTCAGACTTATGAACGGGAATAGGACCGCGCTGTCAGCACATCAGTAAATTTTGTGAAGAAGATACTTTGATCTCAGAACTGAAGAAGCTTCTTGGATGATAAGAAAACATTTTCAAGGGGAAAAAACCCCCAAGAAACTTAAGTTGCCTTTTGAAAAGCACCTTTGGGACATATTCTGATCTGCTTTTATGCTTGTCAATCATTCTCCATACAATACTATTCATTTATGTGTGTGTGTGTTCATACAACTACAGGAAACTCATATTTCGAGGAAACTGATACTTAATTCATTTACATAATCAGCCCTCATCTCTCTACAGCCCCCTTTGCCAAAGATGCAATAAGCTATGGATACTTACCAGGCACGGAGATCCTATGACAGATCCAGCCATGTGTTCTTGACTCTTGCTGTCATCTCCAGCTAACCGTAGTAACTCCTTTGCCACTGTCTCCAGCTAAAGCAACTCCAACAACTTCTCACACTTCCTGTCTTCACCACTGTTTCAGAAAGTCAGAGAGAAGACATAATTGCAAACTCTTCAGCTTTGTTAGATTTTCCCTCTCAAATAAAGCTGTCTTCTTTCAGCTTCTATTAATGTTCTTCACTTTTCTTCGCTGCCTTTCAGGCTAAGCTACTCAAATGATCAGGAAGCTAGTGAAGGAAAAGGGTGGTGTAAAGGGAGGGAAAGAGGGAGGGAATATGTATGTAGTTTGCCTCTTACCCTCCTTCCCCTATCGGGCTTAATCTCTTGTTCTTCTGTAAAAAGCCTTCAAGGACACCTCCCTCCACAGGGTGAGGCTTTGGCCTCGCCTTTAACTCCATAGCCTGTTCTTCATTAAACTGTTTATGAGAGCTATAAAGATACACACACGGCATCCTAGCTACTCCAATTGCTTGCCAGGTGCTGTTTTCACCCTAGCTTTTGTACTATTGAACTAGTAGCAGCCAAATTAGCTTCCCAGACAAGGGAGGTGTCTGTAACCCACCTGATGATTTCAAGTTTGGAAAAAAGTGAAAGGGCAGGTGCTCAACAATTCTGTAAAGTTACAACTATTTAGTGGAAACATCAACAAGAGTCTGAAAATTCTCAGAAGTCTTACTCAAACAAAGGAACTAAGCTTACCGCAATGACACCTAAGCCCTGGTTGTCTGAGGGACTTCCATTAAGAAAGAAACACCATACCATAATTCAGAGGTGTCCAAATGTTTTATCTTTAGGAACCAATGATTTATATCAAAAGACCAAAATTACTTCCTCCCCCATCCATGGGAAAATTCTTATTCTACTTCTCCTCCAGCCTGTTCCTTACCTGTGATGTGGATTGAAACTTGGCTCTTACATGAGAATTGGGAATAACTGGTTGAAAGAGGAACCATCAGGTAAAGCTAAATTCCCACCTTCTATGAGAATCTGGAGGTCCCCCCCCCCCAATCTCCCAACCAGATTGTGGCTTCCAAAATTGTCTCTGCAGTTGAGATTTAAAATGAAGGCACAACTATAATTCTGTCTTTGCAACTATGGCATGATGTTGTTATTATTCTTCAGGGACTGGAGCGACCTAGATTTCTATTTTTATATACCTTTGTACTGATCTGCATTCAACACATATTCCAGATATGATTCCATCCATGTCCCAGAAATCTGCAATCAGATGTTGGTCCAGTTAACAACATTTCTGGGTACAGCTGCGTTATGTTTGGAGGTCTCTTCATACTGACAGAAAGTACTGTTACCTGCTTTGCTTATCTAATCTGGAATGAAGCATACACGCATATCCAGGGTATCATAACCCAGATCATTTAACAGAACATCTAACAAAAAATTGGAAGCTAGATATCAGAAAAAATGTGACCATGGATGCAAACATTTGAAGTCACCCTTCCATCAGAAGCCAGGGCAATCTGGAATTTCAATGAGCTCACCCTGCCAATTAAAAGGGAGGAAGTTCAGAACAATTGTTCCAGAAGCCTGTTCAGCAACTGCTCTATAAATTGTCTTATGGGAAAGATGATAAAAGTTTCTTCCTTATACTTTTTAAAAAATATTTATTGTCTTTTTTATGTATACTTTCCATTATTTATTCATTTCTTCATTCTTCAATTTATGTGGCATCCAGCTCACAATAGCAATTCTAGGCAGCTTACAACATTTTAAAATAATATAAAACATACATTAGTTTAGCAAGGTAGTCCAGACAAGATGTACAACCATGAGTACTAGCTTTATATAAAGTTACTTCAAAAGAATCTTGCAAGAAAATATTTCTCTTCTCCTTTCCTTCTATTCTTTGGAAAAAACTTCTGAAAGGATCTCTTCTGAAACACTTCCTAGAACATCCCCATTCTTTTACATGCCTCTTATCCTCTAAGGTCATTTATACCACAACATAATAGAGAGCACAGTGATATATATCACATCAACCAATGGAGACATTTCAGTTGTTATTCTGTAAAGTAAGATTACCACGGCATTAACACATAATTAACACAGCATTTTAAGATAGTTTCTTTGGATTGGAGAGGTGGTAAATGATCGCAAAAGTCAAAGGACTGAGCTAGGAATGTTCTACTTGGCTTGACCTTGTTCTTCCTAACCTAACCTCTGCCCTCAAATGGAGGCCACAGTCCTATTACCACTTAGAGTCAGCTACTAGTCCTGTAATGGAACATGGAAGAAATAACTTGGGTCGTGGTTGTCAATTAAGTAGAAACCCTGCATGCACTCTGTGGTATGTGAATAATACCTTGTTGACCAATAATCTAGTAAATTAGACAAGGACATGTAGGACACTTTGAAACATCACTCATCCCTTCCAAAGTAGTTGGAAGCAATTTGCCAGTTACCCTGCTGAATTCAGAATACTGACAACAAAAGTGCCAAGCCCTAACTGAACAATAAAAGCTTAGCTGGAAAAAGTTATTCATTCGGTATCCATGCAACTGCTGTCAGGCCTGGAAGCCATCTTTTGCTTTGGGCCTTCAGGCCTGCCAGATTTAGTCTGAGGGAAAATGGGTGGGGTGGGGAGGGATTATATGAAGTACGGGAGATATATAGTCTAAATAACATTCCTTTCTCAGAGAGTCAAGGACATCTTTTCCTGCACCTGAAGTGGTGTGACTGGGAGGCATCTCCAGTTGGGTCGGAGTCTGATTGGACCACGTGATGGACATCACGTCCTTGGGGTCATTCCTGATACTTTCGCCCACAGTCCGGTAGAGACTCTGGTTGCTGCTTGGCACTCGGCAGCATCGGAGGCCCTCGACCGGATTGCGCCACTACGGCCCCTCCGAGGCGGCGGATCCCGGAGACCTCCTTGGTTCACCGAGGAACTCCGGGAGATGAAGCGCCGGAGGAGATGCCTAGAACTCCTATGGAATTCTGATAAGCCCGAATCCAACCCAGCAATGGTAACCACCAGCCCCAAGGCATACACCAGGGCACTTAGGGCAGCGAAAAGATCTCACATAGCCACCTTGGTTGCGTCC